TGAAACTTCTCTTATAGCTCACTGTATGACGTATGTCAGAGCAGAACAGTAGGACGTTACATTTCGTGTTTTCATCTATAATGTCGTTCATAAATACATTTTAGCCAAAATCGGTCCATAAATCTGTGTTGTTTTTTGGTTTTTATTTTTGTTTTTGTTGATTTTTTTTATTTTATTGATAGCCGATTGGCAATAAATAATTGTTCTCGTGACAGGGAGGTAAGGTTGGGTGGGGGAGGGGTTAATGGTGTAAACGCGTGCGCGTTAGACCGCAAGGTCTGTCCTGGTCGTACGTGAGAACGGGTAGAGTCGCTTGTCAAGCCTCATAGGGTTTTCTCCGGTTTCCTCCTACAGCAAGAGACCCATATATTAGTAAGTCCCACAATGACCCCCTCCTCTCTCTCGCACGAGTGACTGTTCTTGGAAACTGCTAGAAGCTATTATGTGAACAACTAGTCAGGAATCCTAAAACATTTCTCAGGTGCATCTCTCTCAGTGTGTTATATGATCTCGGCAAATATATCGAAAGCGTTATCGTGCGTAAACTAAATATAGATAGCTGTTCCGGCAGGTAGCGTGTCTCTTGCAGAGGCGTAGCCGTGAAATATATATTGCGGGGGGGGGGGGGGAAGGGGGTCTGCAAATGAAATTATATAAAATGTTGACATTCTGTGATGTAGCGCGATAGCCGATGTAGCGCGATAGGGAAAGTGTGGGAGCGTCACCCCCATAAATTTTTTTAAAGTTTCAGTCTTCTGTAAACGCTGTTTTGGCATATTTTACGGGATTAAACTAAAACATCACACCAACATATTTGGATATGTACAGTTTTTATAGAGATAGAATCTTAACTAATCCTAATAATTGTTGTAAATAAATAGGAGTTACCCCCATCCCCCCACCCGTCCCTGTGTGTGACGCCCATGGTCTCTTGTGTTCACAATGGTATATGATTTGTCATATATAGCACTGTGTTTCCAGTGATTATAAAATGTTGTCCACAAAAATATGTTTTTTTTTTACTTCTTGTCGAAAGTAATCGGAACATTTTAGATATGTCAACATAACAAATTTATTACATAATCGATTGATAATTGTTAGAACTGACAATGAATAATGGATAACTGATATTAATTTTTTTAATAGAAAAACAGAATTGTTCATACCCTTGTCTAAATGGTGGTACGTGTATAACTCTAAAACATGGTCAATATAAATGTATTTGTCTCCCCGGCTTTAATGGACAAAATTGTGAGGGTGAGTAACATTTTGCTGGACCAACTTGTTGCACCAATATTTAATGCTACCAGATCGGGTTGATTTACAAAATTATAGCTGTTTCAGAAGCTCTTATACACGTTATTAGAAGTAATATCGGGTTGTCTATAATACACGCGATTAGTAGTGTTGACATGTATTCTAGAAGACCTAAGAGTTAATTCCTCGCTTACAAACACTTGTTTGTGTGTGTAACATGGGTCGAGGTGTATTTCTAAATTATGTAAACCTTGCCAAAATCGTTGGTGTTCCCCTTTAATAGCCATGTAACTGTTATAGAGTTTGTCTGAATCTAACAGTACGTAAAACCTTATTTTACTTGATTTCATTTGGACTCAGCTACCCAAATATTCCTACGAAACAAGGGCCATAGCTATTTTTAGTCTTTCTTACCCTTTTCCCTTTCCCCCTTTTGGATGGCGATTTTTGTTGACTTTTTGGTATAGAATCGAACAAAAGGGTTTGAAAATGCATTTTCTGGCAGGTTTTGGGTGAATATTCATGATTTTGAGACGGAGGGATCCAAGAGTTGAGAGGTTGGCTAGGTTGAAATGTAGGGCCGAAAATTGCATGTTTATTGATATTTACTTCCGGAATGTGTATCTCACGTTTTCCATGGTGTAGCTCATACGTGCTCTTTAGCAAGCGGTTGTCACATATTGCTCCATCTGTGGTAGAAAGCGATCTACTGAATGAAAATTTGAGAAAAAGTTAGAGCCGGTCTAAGAGACGAGAATTAACATTAAAGTGGCCATTTGACCTTTAATATGCACGTCACTGATTTATTACCTTCCGTATTATAATAATCTGTTATTAATCTCACCTGTGTATCACAACTAATCATATTATTCTTTATTGCAGTCAACGTCTGTGACCCCTCGCCTTGTTTAAATGGTGGTACTTGTGATCCAACCAACGGCTGCTTTACCTGTATGTGTCCAGCTGGATTTACCGGAATTATTTGCAATGGTAAGATTGTGCATCGTTTCTTTCATGATGTAATCACAATATAGAGGCTTTAGAGGTTTTAACTCAACTAAATGTTATAATTTAATATGTAACCTTAATGATTTTTCAAAATATTCCCCACAACAGAATTCGGTCCACTTGACATGGAATGAACCACGAAGGAAATTTTTGATCTGATATTCCTTTTAGAGATACAACTTCAATTTATAATTCCTAAAATGATGATCTGAGCATACAATTTAGAAATTTCACATTTGTAATAATCGGTTTAAATTCATTGAAATGACGATCAGGGCGTACAGTTTAGAAACTGTACACGTTTGTAATAATGCACGTGCGTACGCAACCTAAATAACCTCTCTATCTACAACTAACATTTAAATTTCCACCTATAACTCCGTAAGATTTTTGTGATGATAATTGTAAATTACCCAATATTCACGATGTCCTATAATATCGAAGGCGATTTTCATTTTGTTTATACAAAAATTATAGGGTTTGTAAAATTTAGAATTATTTCCATATAGTAAAAACTAAAATGGTTATTATAAAAGAAAGGGAATGACATATCATTTTAGAAAAAGCCCCCGCTTTTGTAATAAATTAAATAGTATTACAAAAACGCGAGTTACTATTAAAAAAAGTCTGATGACGCAGTTATTCAAAGCGTATTTAGCTTACTGTTTCCCTCGTAATATTTGCCTCATATATCTTGGTGCTGCCTTGGTTAATATTTGCCATATATATATATCAGAATCACGTGGTCGTCTGATTATTTAAGCCCTGGTTTTGCTCTTTTATAGGTGTCAAACCTTTAATTGCTTACGTCATAGACTGACCAGCGTACTAAAATCCAAATATGTAATAGACATGCACCATACCTTGCATTCCGGCCGGGATTATTACCTAATTTGGTCAACAAATATAATATATGTTTGTGGCCATGAAAAATGCAAATGACCATGATGTTTATTAATCTATAGACCAGTTAACGCTTCTTTGGCATTAAGACAGGAATACGAGTCCTCGTCGACTACATGGTCAATGATAGAGAAAGCTGTAAGGAATTAAATGACATTTTAATTCCAAGTATTGACACAATAGCTTATATGTATACCACAAGTCTTCAAGTGAAAAGTTTAATAAATTTATTGATGCTATTGTTTATGTGATACCCGGACCACAAACAGTATGGTATGGTATTAAGGAATTATCAATAAGCAGTTGTATGGTATTACGGAATTATCAGTATACACATAAATCTATTCCTTTTAGCCCAAATCTAAAGGTACACTTGCTTTTCTTGATGTGGAGATATTAGCGATTCAATTTTAGGCTAGCCTCGATCGTCATTACTACTGGTGATACGACAATAAGCAATGTCTCGATTATCAATTTTTATGTTAAATCATCCATCACAAAACGAAGTGAAATAGATTAAATATCACAGGCTAACGATGGCATCGGGAGATGATAATTTGATCTTGATAAGTTAATTAATGTCTAATTAATAATTTAGATAACATTTAAGGCCTAAAGAAAGACCTGTAATCGGGAGATATAGCTCTTGAATAATGCATGTTTAAGTTAAGCCCACTGAAAGTTATCGCTATCTAGTATAGTAATGTCGTTGCTATATTATTTCAACACACGGATGGTACTAATTTTATATTTTCAGATCTATTGTCTATAAATAATATATTTAAAGTTATAGGTCCATATTATAAGGCTTCAGGGGTCAAGATAAATGTCCAGAAGTCTGAAATGTTAACCATAGGCGAAGCAATATACACCAAACCCTAGTTTAACATCACTATTAAACGTGTAGAAAGCATTTAGACTCTTGGCATATATCTTGGTTCCAATTTTAAAATGGCCAAAAAAAGTTGCAAAAATAAATAAACTGTTTAATTATTGGAAATTAAGAAGATCAAGTCACTGTCACACATTATGGTACAATCTAGCTGTTATTACTAAATATTGGAATTGATATTCAGAAATGTTTATTATGTTCAGTTGCTTGTAGAATGAAAACCCCCTCTTGTTATATACAAGTCTATCATAACAGTGAAAGTGTTGGTATCAACCAATATTATATAAGATCCGTAAAACTCATTCCAAATATAATTTTAATGCAGCGTTCGTTACGCCGCTTGAACCGTAACGAATACATTTTAATTGATATAACAGTTCTTGTCCATCTCGTATCTTGTTACTTCCAGTAAATTTATGTGAAATAAAATCATGTTTATCCCGTAACTTGTTACTTCCTGTAAATCTGCAGTTGTATATGGTCATTGTAATAATTAGATAGCGTTGCTTAACGTAATTAGGTATCTCTTATCTTGTTACTTCCAGAAAATCTATGTGGAATAACAAACTGCCTCAGCGACACACCATGTGTACCAATCCTTGCACCTGGTGGAGACACCTGTAGTTGTGTTGAAAGAATTTCTGTGGGTGGAGTGTGCCTTGGTGAGTAAATGTTAGAACGTAGATTACACCTGATGAATGCTGACAATATCATTTGTCTATTTCTGTTATGAGGTTGTCGAATGAAACATGTTAACAAGTTAACTAGATGATGATGAAACATTAAAGTAATATAATAGTATTGATATATTGGTTAACACTACGAGAGCGACATAAACCAAACCCACGCCCTGTTTCATCTGTAGGAGTGCATCCATGACAGATCTCGTTTAATATAACATGTTTTACTATTTGTTCTAGGACGGTCAATCATTACACCTGTAAAGCTATACGACAATTTTCTGGATATTACAACCACAATACCTGGAGTTCCCGGTAAAAATCTCACCATTTCATTCATTGATGATTTTAATATTGAGTCAACCAATCCTCGTCTATTTGACTACCTAGAGATTGAAGGCACAAAGTACGTATAGACCCAACGACAACATTAAACATACATTATGCAAAAGCTAAATTTGCTTATTGCAGGTCTTTCCTTAGGCCTGAAATGATATCTAAATTATTAATTAGACAATAATTAACTTAACAAGACTATAATCAACTCTCGATGTGATCGCTAGCCTGTGCTATTTACTGGATTTGCTGCTCAACTTTCATTCATGATTTAATCATGAAATGGATAATCGGGGGTAGGCCGAAAATTCAATTGCTCAGTTCTCGGTTCAGAATGGATCATTTTGACCGACATTTTCAGCATATTCCCTTTACGTTATCTAGTTTTTAACTATCATAGTGAGAACTGACAGCTCTTTATCTAATCGCCCAAAATGTATCTTTAACTACTCGTTGTATAGACGAGGCTAGAGCTTCTAAATAAAAACCCTGTCTTCACCTCCATTCAACACAACCTAGGTCATTTCGAGACTAACATATGTTTCAATTTTAATTCATTAATTCGTAGGGGTCTTTAGCAGTGGGAGGAAACCGGAGGATCCGAAGAAAACCCACGAGGTTGGACAGGCGATCCTACTCCTTGTCACGTACAACCGGGGAATAGAAACTACGCCAGTTGACTCAATGACAGACCTTATGATATAACGCACACGCGCTATTCATTCGGCCATCCACACCTCCTTCCCGGTTCACAAATAATAATAAAATCAATAACAATCATAACATGAACTTTATGTGAACTTGAATAAACTACTTTCTGGCGAAATAACGATCGTTGAACAACTATATAGGCAATACGATCTATGTTCTACCGGGGCGCCCAGTGTTATGGACAGTATTTTGTTGACATTCAGTGTGGAGTGGGATTGTGGATGACCCACCCCGACCCCACACCCATTAACAGCTTCTAGATTCGCTACAGGGGTCTTCAATATGACGTTTTATACATTAAAAGAAATGTAACGAAATAGGGTTTTACGTCGTATTTGTCTGCACATTAGGGTAGGTTGATTTTCAAAGAATTCAAATTATGAATTTTACAAATTCCTCAAGAAGCGGTTTGTGATATGGATATAAATTAAAGGTTTTGTGGTTGCATCTAATACTACCTTATTGTCGCTTTAAGATACACCTATATTTTTATACTTTTGTCTGTGTAGATATTGTGGTCAGGAGGCTCCAGAAGACATCACGCTTTCAACTGGTGCCGGCACCCAAGTACGCTTTTTCACCGATTTTAATTTCAGACGAGTAGGTTACACATTGACCTATCAATATATAGGTGAGTACTAATTTGAATTAATTACATTAACATTTAGTGTATTAATGTTTAAATATGAAATTACTCAAACATAGATAGAAAAATGATTGACTTTTGTACAATAGTATCAATAACCACACTTTGTGTTCTAATAGATAACCTTTGTGTATGGTTGGTAGATAACTACTCCAATAAGCTAACCCTGGGCACATTATGTTAAAGCTTGAAAAGATCTCAATTGTGTAGAAAACCCCAATACCCCTAACGCCTAAACATATTTCTACCTTTCTCTATATTCTTACATAAATACCAATTGTTGATTTCTATTTACACGAAATATTTTATATATTTTACATAGACGCTGTACCAGATGATAATCCTTGTAAAAATGGAGGAACGCTCACCGCACAACTAACTTGTAATTGCATGTCAGGTTTTGAGGGAAGTAATTGTGAAAGTGAGTAAAAACAATTTTTATTTCCAATGATTTTAATATGTCTAGACAATAATATATTATAATCATATTTAACAGATTCACAAGTCAATTTATCTGTAAATATGCTGGGATTGTTTGGAGAACCAGCAGGAACCTTGTTAAGGCTCAAAATTCACAAAGAATTTACAAAAAGTTAATGCTCCCTGTCACTGAAATTGATGACTAAATCCCGATGCTCCTGATATTTTTGCCCCACAAAACGGTGTAGACCCATGCGAAATGGCACTTATTGAGCATCGGGATATTCCGGTATACTTTACAAAGCTTCAAGGAATATCCCTCGAACAATTGCCATGAATCATCGGGGGTGGTTCCAGATGTTCGGGAAAGCTCCGGTGTACAATCGCTGATAACCAACATCATCGTGTGAATATCCTCGTAGATTAGGGGATGCATCGGTGAGTACCTGTGAACCACTCAAAGAGTATCTTGGGCGTATGTATATGAACATCTCAGTACCCTGCGTGATCCCGGAAGACTTAGAGGACAGACTCACCGGCGTCCTGGGAAAAATTCGGGAATATTACGAGCCATGTGGAACCATCGGGAGGTCTCGGGGCAACTGCGAAAAATTTCAGTGTCTCCCTGGAAATAGTTTTCCCCTAGGCGTCCTCGAAGCATCGGCCATCTCTCGACGAAGTATCAGGAGACCGTCGATGATATTTGAATCCTCGGCGACAGGTCGATGTCCTTTCGGTAACTCATTCCCGATCACTGGATTTTATCCCTGAATATTATCGGAAATTTCGGCGACGTTTGAAAAATGCATTCTGGTCATGACGCTGATTGGCTGGATTCTGCATAAATTACATTTCGTTTTGAACGGGGGGGGGGGAGTGCCTGGGTCCACACGGATCGCGACACTCCTGACATCGGGACACCAGGAAACCTGTCCCCGAGGCTAAGCAATTCCATCGCCGAGGCAAAATATAACCAGTGGAAACTCGCCCTAAACATTGCTAGTCTAAAGGAAAGTACTTTTCAAATGTTGATTTTCTACACAGAATGGGTCAGTGTCAATAAAATGAATGTGATATTTCTATTATATATGTTATGCTATGAAGAACGGTAAACAGTTAAATAACAGGATGTAACATAATGTAGTGATGTCATCGGTTAATAGAATGATTTATTATTGTTATAGTCCCAGCAATATTAACATCAGGCGGGCAGTACGGGTCCGACCAGAACACATCGTTCACTCTACCTGGTTTTCCAGAGAAAGAACTTGTCCTTACGTTTGATGATGATTTTAGTATTGAAACTACGGGTGGTAATTGTAATGATACTCTAAGAACAAACTGTACAGAAGATTATGTGGAGATAGAGGGAACAAGGTAATAGATTTACTTCATATTAAACCCACTTTTTAGATCCTCCAACATAGTTGAGACACCATCATGCGGTAGTTGTACTTAACCTCTGTATGTTATACATCATGTAAACATTACAGTACAAATATAATACAGTCTATAAAATGGTGTATACATATTTTGATTTAACCGAGAATAATATCCCACCTGGATTAGGAAATGACACCAACCAGTCTATATTGCTAAATCATTTGGTTACTAAATTTAATCACATATTTATATTGTATATATTCCCTGATCATAATACTGGGTTTTATTACAGATATTGTGGAGGCGTGGCCCCAGAACCCATTACTCTACCTACAGGTAACGGAACAACAGTACGTTTTGTGAGTAACCCTGACGGTGAAGAGTGCCCGATCGGTTTTCGACTCACCTATGTCTATAGAGGTAAGTCAGTCAGGCCGTGTTGGAGATATCACGTAAATAATAGTTTTGTTTTCATTGGTGTTAGATACCTTGTTGTGGTGTTGACAAAACGTTTAAAGCCTTGTGAATAGATCTGGTAATGTTTTCATTTCCTCTCATCCTTTGACTTAACCTTCCTTTTATGGGGATCACGTGGCTAAGTGGGTAAGACGCTGGCTCGCTAGCCTGGAGATTGGGTGTTCGATCCCTGCATTGGCTGAGAAAGTTCATTCAGATTTTCCGGCGTGGTTTCCCCTTGTCAGTGATGCAGGATAGAGGGCCTGACAAGGACAGCTGTCTAGTCGTTCGTTTGGGACGAAGAACCGAGGTCCCGTGTACACATTGGCGTGCACGTAAAAGATCCCTTGGCAGTTGGAATTTGATATAAGAGTAGGCCGTAGTGCCGCTGCCCGGGCAAAATTTCCCTCATAGCACACTGTATGGCGTATGCCCGTCTTCATTAGCCCTGGTTAGTAGCGGAACAGTAGGACGTTAAACCCATTTCATTTCCTTCCTTTTATATTTCAGACCCGTAGTCATTTTAAAACTGATGCTAAACGTACAACAAGGAATTAATGTTTGTGAATTTACTTCTGCTAGAAATGGTATTATGTGATGGAAGGATATGTCATCAGGACAGTTTGTTAACCAAAAAAAGATAATTCCTGATTTTACAAAAATCTAACTATGGTATATGATATTAATGCAACAAACCAATAAATATTGTATATACCACTTTGTAGTCTTGTGCTTTTATATCAATTCACGCGTGTAGTTTAGATCATCATTTTTGTCACCGATGCAAGTAACCTCCCGTTTTGTCTACCGGGTAATAATAACACATCACCGGCCGTTGCGAATTGTAGAATCATTTATCTTCCAGCGAAGAAGAAGATAATGGTTATTATAGTGACACGTGATGGATTGACAAAGTAAACAATTTGAAAGTCCTTCACCTGGTATACTTCATTAATTTTTACAAGCAAATGAATTATTCTAATATATTTAAACAGGTGTTTTCTCCGATGTGTTCTTGGTTGAATAGCTGAATAATTCGTCTATATCGCCAAACTTGATAATATTTAAGCCAACGGCTAAGCAAATATCTGATGTTGGTGTATTAGTCAACCAGAGGCCCAATAAATGTCTATTGGTGGTGTATTGCTCAGCCAGAGGCCCAACAAATGTCTGTTAGTGTAATATTGAAATTCGATGAAAATTAGAGTTTGATCCATATAAGAATTTGGTCGTATAGAAGGTTTCCTGGCAAAATACCCCTCTTAGCACACTGCATGGTGTTTGTCCGTAGCTACCAAATAAATGAATACATCTGAGTTTAGGGGACAGTGTACCTGGAGTAGTATGCAGTGTATGGAATTCGTTTAACATTTGCAAGCATTCTGCTAGTTCTTCAGTGAAACCAAATTGATGCAATTCACATCAGCTGATCAGCATTTGTTTTAAGACGAATGATTTTATTTTAAACTGTTTCCCCACATGTACAATGGCGGGAGTTTCATCAATAGTCTTGACCTATTAAATCTTAAAAGTCGATTCCAACTATTTTGTGGAAGTGTATTTGGTCTAGTTTAAAATGTAAACTAGTATACTACTGAGGTACTGCTAACTAAATTGGGTTTAACGTCCTACTCTGAGGCACCGACTACGATAATGAAGAACTGTTAAGGATTCTTTACGTGCACACCAATATGTACACTAGACGCAGGGTTTTCGTATTATTCGAAGGGCTATACGATTTCATATGCCAGGTCATTCGTCCTGCATCACTGAAAAGGGGAAACCACGCCGGAAATGAACTGAAATGGAGTTTAACGTCCTACTGTTCTGCTCCTAACCTGGGCTAATGAAGACGGGCATACGCCATACAGTGTGCTATGAGGGAAATTTTACCCGGGCAGCGGCACTACGGCCTACTCTTATATCGAATTCCAACTGCCAAGGGATCTTTTACGTGCACGCCAATGTGTACACGGGACCTCGGTTGTTCGTCCCATCCGAACGACTAGACAGCTTTCCTTGTCAGCCCCTCCGTCCTGCATCACTGACAAGGGAGAACCACGCCGAAAAACCACGACGGATATCCTGATGAACTTTCTTGGGACCCTCGGGTCGGTGCTGACCTGGCCTTCCTATCTTGATCTGTTAACACTGGACGGCTGATCTGAAGTGAAATGGAGTTTAACGTCAGCCTGGTCTAATGCTAAAGGTTGACATTAAAACGGAGAATGTGGTCGTGTTAGTAATTGATTGAATGAAGGGAAATAACTCTCATTATTGAAAGCATCAAAATATATTTCTTTATTGGTTCACGAATTTGGAAATATTTATAGACCAAGTTAGCAGAGACTAATCATGGCTGGTGTATATGTTACATGATTACGGTAACAGAATGAAAGGAATTTAATGTATTATAAACACAGTATGTCGGCCATTTTAATACTTACATTATCCTCTCGTATTATATAATAAATCCATTTAACATTTGACACCAGATTTTAAAGAGCGGCTAAAAAAATGACACGTCTCTGAATTTCGACTGGTTCTTCCTGGACTGGACTAGCCAAACAATACATATAAGTTTAAATGTCACATAACTTGGACATGAAGGGTGTTTAGATGACTGTGAATTCGGGGGAAAATTCGTGGATATTCTGGAGTATTTGTCACAACTGTCGTACAAGAGATTAAAATTATCAAAGTAATCAACAATAACCCACGGTAGCGAGTTTTAATCTCACAGATAATTGATTAGTGATTGCTTGTTAATCTTTCGTGGCTTCACACCCATCCAGTTTTAATCTCACGGATAATTGATCGGTAAGTGTTTGCTTCACACCCACCGATTGAAGGCCGGATGATACGGTGTCGATTCAATGGAAATCGTATGACGGGACGGCTGATTGATGTCGTAATCTGGGTTCTTATGACAACTGGTTACTTTAACACATTTCCTAGTCAACATTACACTGTGTTTTCTGTTTAAATAGGACGAAAAAAATAAGCGTCTGTATAAAAGAACCCTTGACAGTTTGAATTCAAAATAAAAGTTCGCCATTGTGCAACCCGGCAACATATCCCTCAAAGCACACTGTATTTCGTATGCCCGTCTTCATTAGTCCATTCGGTGCTTTACAGTAGGACGTTAAACCCCATTTCATTTCAAATTTTATGGCTGTGCTGGGCTGGCGGTACTATATCTGATAGTCCTGTAGGATGAGTGGTATTACATATGATAGTCCTGTAGGATGGGTGGTATTATATCTGATAGTCCTGTAGGATGGGTGGTATTATATATGATAGTCCTGTAGGATGAGTGGTATTATATATGATAGTCCCGTAGGAGGGGAGGTATTATATATGATAGTCCTGTAGGATGGGTGGTATTATATCTGATAGTCCTGTAGGATGGGTGGTATTATATATGATAGTCATGTAGGATGGGTTGTATTATATATGATAGTCATGTAGGATGGGTGATATTATATATATGATAGTCCTGTAGGATGGGTGGTATTATATATGATAGTCCTGTAGGATGGGTGGTATTATATATGATAGTCCTGTAGGATGAGTGGTATTATATATGATAGTCATGTAGGATGGGTGGTACTATACATGATAGTCATGTAGGATGGGTGGTATTATATATGATAGTCATGTAGGATGGGTGGTATTATATATAATAGTCCTGTAGGATGAGTGGTATTATACATGATAGTCGTGTAGGATGGATGGTATTATATATGATAGTTCCGTAGGATGGGTGGTATTATATATGATAGTCCTGTAAGATGAGTGGTACTATATATGATAGTCCTGTAGGATGGGTGGTATTATATCTGATAGTCCTGTAGGGTGGATGGTATTATATATGATAGCCGTCTAGATATAAATCTCATAATAATACTTGTTTATACCAACCTAGATATAAATCTCACAATAATATTTGTTACATAGTTGTAAGATAACGGTACCTTATATTTACTTAGATATAAAATTTCATAATAATATATTGTATTGAACATAGCTGTAAGATAACGGTACTTTATACTTACCTAGATACAGATGTTATAATCATATATTTGTTTTAAACCTTTATGTAAGACAACAGGCCTCCATTCTTACCAAGATAATGTAAGATAGCCGTAATTTACATTTACCTGGATATAGATTTTAATATACTTACCTAGATGCAGATCTCAAAATAATTTATTGTTTTAAAAAAAAGTTGTAAGAAACGGTACTCTATATTTAACTAATTACATCTTTCATAATAATATATTGTTTTGACCATAGCTAATAGCTAATAGCATTTCATACTTACCCAGATGATACAGATCTCATAATAATATATTGCTTTGAACATAGTTGCAAGATAACGGTACTTTATATTACCTAGATACAAACCTCATAATAATATCTGTTTCGAACATAGCTATATCAGAACGATACTTTATACGTATCTAGATACAGATCTCATAATAATATATTGTCTCGAACATAGTGTAAGTTAACTGTACTTTAAATTTACCTGTTTTCAGATCTCATAATAATATATCGTCTTAAACATAGATATAAGATAACGGTACTTTATACTTACCTTCATACAGATCTTATAATATTTTATTGCCTTGATCATATTTGTAATGTTTGATTTGAGCATATCTGTATGACAATGGCACTGAACATAATTGTAGGTAACGGTACTTTACTTTTATCTAGATACTGATTTTAAAAAAAATATTGTTTTTGAACATAGTTGTAAGATAACACTACTTTCTTTACAATAATATACTGATTTGGACATAGATGTAATATAACGGTACTTTATGCTTACACAGTTACGGTTCTCATAATAATATATTGTCTTGATCATAGTTGTGAGAAAACGGTGCTTTATATTTACCTAAATACTGATTTTCATAATCTATTGTATCGAACATAGTTGTAAGTGGTACTCTGTACATACCTAGATACAGACCTCAAAAATGATGTATTGTCTTGAACATAGTTGAAAGATAACAGTACTTTATAGTAACCTAGATACAGATCTCATACAAATATTTTGTTTTGAACACAACTGTAAGACAAAGGTACTCTATATTTAACTATAAAAATTACTCATAATAATTGGTCTGAACCGTTGATGTTCTATCACGCTAGTTTAAATTTAACTAGACACAGACTTTATAATAATATATTGTCTCCTTCATAACTGTAAGTTAACGGTATTTTTATTTACCTTGATACAGCTCTTAATAAAATAGTGTTTTGAATATTGTAGTAAGGCTACAGTACAATATTCTTATCTTGAGACAGATCTCAGAATAAAAAGTATTTTGAACATAATTGTAAGATAACGGTACTTTAAACGTGCCTAGATTCAGATCTTCGGAATAATATTTGATTTGAACATAGCTGTGTGATAACGGTACTTTATGCTTACCTAGATACAAATCTCATAATAAAATAATGCCTTGAACATAGTTGTAAGATAGCGGTACTTTATACTTACCTAGACTCAGATTTGTTTTAAATACTTATGTAAGATAACTGTTGTCTAGCCTTACCTAGATAAAATCCTCAATAATATGTTGCCTTGAACATAGTTGTAAGATAACAGTACTTTATATTACCTAGATACAAATCTAAAAAATGTTGATATCTTCTTTTTAACATAGTTGTA